AGAAAATAAGCAAATTTTGGCATATTATACTTTATTATGTCAGGAAAGGTAAAAATGCAATTGAAACACACACACAAAGATTTATGGAGTGTATGGAGAAGGTGCTATGACTGACTGAATGTATCAAAAGTGGTTTGCAAAGTTTCTTGGTACTACTGACTTTGTGGCCAAATGATTCTTGTGGCCAAAGACAGCTGTGGAGCTGTCTTATGCACTGGAAGATGTTTAGCAGCACCCCTGGCCTCTACCTACTAGCCAAGTGGGAGATAGCCAATATACTCAAAGTATTCAAATCAATAAAGTTATTGGTGAAAATAAAAAAATGTCTTTTATTTTATGGAGAAAAGCAAACAGAATTTTTGGCCAACTCAATAACACTGAATGACAACTGTAATTTTTTTAAAAATCTAGAGAAGAAGACACAACCAAAAATGTAGCCACAAATATAACATTAACAAATCTCTAATAAACTACAGTTACGTATACTTGAGCTAACGGAGATACCAGCTAATTCAAAGTAACTAAATCAAATAAAATTTCATGAAGGAAGTGAGTTAGAGCAAATGGCAGAGGAAGAGTGAAAGTACTAAAAATTAAAGGAAGAAAGCACTTCAGGTAGCTCAATACTGAAATGAAAAATCAGATTAGAAAGCAAAACCCAACTATATGTTGCTTCTTATAAGAAGTAACATACAGTTCACCACTTTAAATATGAAGACAGATAGGGTGAGATTAAAAAACGGAAAAAGATGTATCGTGCAATGCTAATCAACAGAACCCTGGAAAGGCTATATGAAAACCAGACAAATTAGATTTCAGACTAAGAAATATTAGCAGTAATAAAAAAGAACACTTCAGCCCTGACCAATGTGGCTCAGTTGGTTGGAGCATTGTCCAGTAAACCAAAGGGTTGTGGGTTGGATTCCCAGGCAGGGCACATGCTTAAGCTGCTGGTTTGGTCCCTGGTTGGGGCATTCAAGAGGCAACCAATTAATGTTTCTCTCTCACATTGATCTTTCTTTCCCTCTCTCTCTCCCTCCCTTCTCCTCTCTCTAAAATCAATAAGCATGGCCTTGGGTGTAGATTAACAACAACAAAAGAACTCTTCATAAAGATACAGGTGTCAATTCAACAAGATGATACAAAAAATAAAAATGTAGATATAACCAATAACAGAGCTTCAAAATATATGAAGACGAACCAGATAAAATTGAGAGGAGAAATAGAAAACTCCACAATTAAAGTGGTAAATTTCAACATTCCTCTTGTAATAACTGATTAAATAAATAGAAAATTATTAAGGATACAGGCAATTTGAACAATATCAGCCAACTGGACCTAGTTAATATTTTTTTGAACACCATTCACAGCAATGGCAGAACATACACTTTCTTTTCAAATGCACATGACACATTCACCAAGACAGACCATAATCTGGGCAATAAAATAAAATTCTAATCAATGTAAAAGGCTGAAATCATACAAAGTATGTTTTGTGATCATAGGTCACAACAGAATTAAACTAGAAATCAGTAACAGAAAGATTTCTGGAAATTTTTGAAATATTTGGAAATTATCACACTGCTTAAGAGTCAAAGAAGAAATCACAGAGAAATTAGAAATAATTTTGAACTAAATAAAATTAAAACAAGTCAAATTTTCTGGGATAGAACTAAAGCAGTGATGAAAGGGAAACTTACAGCGTTAAATGCTTAAGTTAGAAAGGCAGGTTTCTAAACAATGAGTCTTAAAAAACTAGAAAAAAAAACTAATTAAACCTAAAGCAAACAATGTAGGACTTGAACTAAAATATGTGAATAATGACGAGAAAGAAAAGTAAACATGAGAGTCTATAAATCCTGGAAAGAAATCTTAGAATACACTAATGATTTAGAGTTGGGGCTATGAAATAGCTTGCTAATTTTTTTTCACATACCTTAACTTACAATTACTTAGAGAAAAAGCCAGATAGCATGCATAAGCAAAGTGGGTTGGTGCTAAATAAGAAAGAAAAATCAAGAAAGGCGATATATAATAGAAGCAGGAATTGAAGACACCATGGTGGCCAAAGAAATATCAGATTTTTTTCCTTGGGAAATGGATATAGAAATACCACTTTTATTACAGAAAGATTAATATAGGGTTTTTTTTTAAGACAGGAAAAGAGGAGCTATGTTTCATTATAATGAGTTCAAAACTTTGCGCAGATGTCTAGTTTGAAACATTCTAAGGGAATAAGACTAAGGAAATAAAAAATGTATTAAAAAAGCAGGTTGCATGTATCTATATAACAAATGTAATTAAAACTCTCTGAATGAATTTTAGCAAGACATGGAATGTTAGGCACAGACCTGAGGGATCTCTATGAAGACTAAGGATAAGGAAGAAAATAAATACCTTGTAAAGAGAAACAAAAGTGGATATATAGAGGATCGATATATCCACTTGCTTTCAGAATTGCTCCCCAGCAGATGTTCCTCAGACCCTTCAGACTCAACATAACCAACAACGGGTTCATCTTCCTCACTCCCAAACCTGTTTCTCCCCTTGTATGAATGGCAGCACCACACCTGTCAGAAATGTGAGAGTATCTGCTCTCTTCCATCTCCCCCCACCCACACCCCGTTGAGTCACCTACTGCTGTTCATTCAAGTTCCTAAAGGTAGTCCTCTCTTTTATTTCCCTCCATCTAATTCCCACAGCTGGTCCTTCCACACAGATTTTCAATATTTTTTATCTGGACTATTATAGTAGTTTCCTAACAGGTCTCTCTGACTCCAACCTTTCCAAATGTCACCTTATCCCAAATACACAGCCTACTTGATCATCTTCTAATATATAAAAGCCGGGCATGTCAGTTTGCTTCTTAAAATCTGGCAATGAAAATAAGACATAAGCTCCTCAGCACGACATAAAATCCTTCATAAGACACTTCCTAAATTCCCTCCTCATATTCTGGGTCCTATCCAAGCTGAACTATGCAAATTTCTCGGTATATTCTAACACGTGCTGTTGTCTCTGCCTGTGGAGCCTCTTCCCCATTCCCCCCATTGGTTACCACTAACCATCCTTCAAGGCTTAATCATCTGGCTTTTACCCTGTTTCCTCACTGCCTATAAACAACTTCAAAATAAGGATCGTAATTCTGATTATCCAGTACTTCATAAAGCAGCTCAATAAATGTACCCATATTTTGCCATGTATAATGAGTACATCTTTGCCCAAATTTTTGAGGGAAAATAAAGATGTGCATTATATGTGGGTATAGTGATTACATGCCATGGCCCCATGTATAATGTGCACAAAAACACGGGTGTGCATTATACACCAGAGCACATTATGCATGGCAAAATACAGTATATTCATTAGTCCCACAGCATGCCTAGCAGTAAATGTGCCAGGCCATGGCTGTTACCAGGGACACAGTGAATAAAACAACAGGTGCTCAAACAAACATAAACAATGAAAAAAGCCACCTCTCAGTTTTGACAGATGAGAGAGAGAGAGAGAACACGAGAAAGTGAAAGAGAAGAAAACATTAAAGCCAGAGTCAGACAGGTGTTAAAATCAATGTCGTAAAGTGTGAGTATTTACAAAGGGGCAAGTGTAAACTTCTAAAGGGATTGAGAATAATATACCCTGCCCAATTACTTGCTATATACCCTACTTTTTTCCCCTTCTGCAGTAACTCAAAATCATTTAAAGAAGCAGATAAAGGGATGAAATCAAATTTATCAGGAAGATAAAAAACAGTATGTTAAATGAGTATATCACAGAATGAAAAAAATTTTTAAAGAATTGCAAAATTCACTGAAAGCTTTGTTTAAATTCCCTCATTAAATTGGTACAACCATTATGGAAAACAGTATGGAATTTTCTCAGAAAAATAAAAATGGACCTGCCTTTTGACCCAGCAGTTTTACTGCTAGGATTATATCCTAAGAACTCTGAAACACCAATCCAAAACACCCTATGTACCCCAATGTTCAGAGCAGCACAATTTACAATAGCCAAGAGCTGGAAGCAACCTAGGTGCCTGTCAGTAAATGAATGGATCGAAAAATTATGGTACATATACACAATGGAATTCTATGCAGCAGAGAGAAAGAAGGAGCTCCTACCCTTTGCAACAGCATGGATGGAACTGGAAAGCATTATGCTGAGTGAAATAAGCCAGGCATTGAAAGACAAATACCGTATGATCTCACCTTTAACAGGAAGCTAAACAACAAAACAAACAAGCAAGCAGAATAAAAACAAAGACACTGAAATAGAGAACAGGGGGACAGTGACCAGAGGGGAAAGGGGAAGGAATTTCAGGGGAAAAGGGGGAAGCATTTACAGGAACTAGTATAAAGGACACATGGACAACAACTAAGGGGGGTGGAAATGGGAGGGAGGTGGGGAGCATGGGGGGGTGGGGTGGGCTGGGATGAGAGTAAAAGAAAAAAAAGAAAAAAGAAAAGAAAAGTACTACTTCATTTCAGTTACAGTGTATGTAGATCTAAATATATACTGTAATATATTAAGTGATCTGGTGGGAATGTAAATTGGTGCAACCACTATAGAAATCAATATGGCAGTCCTCCAAAAAAAAACAACCTAGAACTACCAAATGATTGAGCAATTCTAATTCTAGGTATTTAGCCAAAGAAAACAAAAACACTAATTCAAAAAGATATATGCACCTCATTATTCACTGTAGCATCTATAGCATTATCTTTGTTTATAATAGCCAAAACTTGGAGATAGCCTAAGTGTCCACTGATGGATGAATGGATAAAGAAAACGTGATATGTATGTATGTCAAATCATGATGCTGTATGCCTGAAACTAATATAATGTTATATGTCAATGATACTGCAATAAAATATATATATTTGGAGTAGGTGATCATACTGGGTATTAATTTCTCCATGCAGAAGTTCATTAATGCAAGATACGTTACATGATCCTTCAGTGTATCTAGTGCAGGTTGAAGAAAAGAAAACAAAACTTACTGTCCACGAGGATACCAACGGTGCTTAGTAGTAAAGAACATTTTGCTAAGTTGTTCTATCATAGGTCCTTGCTCCAAGTGTTCTTGTTTATCTTCTAATCTGGTTTTCAGTACTTGATCTAATGTTTCTTCATAATTATGCACAGGATCTGGCCGAGGGATAGGCTGCAAAATAATTAGTAATAAACAGCACTGAAATGTACAAATGTTAGCCAGCATTTGACTGAATTTATGATGAAACAATTACCATTCTCAAGAATGCATTATAGTACCTCAAAGTGGATAGGTAAGTTATCTGAACAGAGTTTGACTTAGTTATAGTATTCATTAAAGAATAAGAAATAGCCCCGGCTGGTGTGGCTCAGTGGACTGAGTGCTAGCCTGCAAACCAAGGGGTCACCAGTTTGATTCCCAATCAGGGCACATGCCTGGGTTGCAGGCCAGGTCCCCAGTAGGGAGCATGAAAAAGGCAAGCACACATTCAAAGTTCTCTCCCTCTCTTTCTCCCTCCCTTCCCCCCTCTCTAAAAATAAATAAATGATATCTTTTTATTTCTAGAGAGAGGGGAAGGGAGGGAGAAAAAGAGAAAGAAACATCAATGTGTGGTTGCCTCTCACGTGGCCCCCACTGGGTACCAGGCCTGTAATCCAGGCATGTGCCCTAACCGGGAATTGAATTGGTGACCCCTTGGTTCACAGCCCACACTCAATCCACTGAGCTACACCAGCCAGGGCAATAATATCTTTTTTTAAAAAAGAATAAGAAATATTTTTCTTCTCACATCAAGTTTTGGGTTTCTTTTCCAATAATAAATGTCTTATTTAAAGTTCTGCTTCCCCCTCAATAATCAAGACATTACTTTAGTTCCTATTTCTCAAAACTATAAATTGTGCTCATTATTATTTTTTAAATTAAAAGTCTAGTCTCCCCTGGCTGGTGTGGCTCAGTGGATTGAGTGCGGGTTGTGAACCCAAGGGTCACTGGTTCAGTTCCCAGTCAGGGCATATGCCTAGGTTGCAGGTCAGGTCCCCAGTGAGGGCTACGTGAGAAGCAACCACACTATGATGTTTCTCTCCCTCTCTTGCTCCCTCCCTCACCCTTTGTCTAAAAATAAATAAAACCTTTGGAAAATAATAAATAAGTCTCTACTTGTAATAAAATTAAAGTGAGATACAATGATAAATCTGTCACTGTAAAGAACATTTTTGGAGACGACTTGGAGTGGTGACAAACACATAATACAATACAGATGATGTACAATATTACAGAATTATGTACCTGAAATCTATATAATTTTATTAACCAATGTCACCCATATAAATTCAGTGAAAAACACAAAAGAAATGTCAGTAAAAAGAATGGGAAAGGGGTGTGCTAAAGATTGATTTAGTAAAGATTAAATTTCTTAGCTGGGGATAGGCAGTCTGGGCAAGTTGAGTATATAATTGATTTCCTTACATTGAATAAAAAGAAAATTGTGCAATAAAAAGACAAAAGGATATTTCCCATATATAATGGAAGCAGGAAAAATTTCAGTGTTTATTTTAGATGACTGAAATGGCAAAAACTGATGCTTTATGGTAATTTTTTAGTGCATACTTATATTTATTGAGCTTATATACATGAAATGATAAGACCTCTTTAAAATGTAATATATAAGTACATGAAAGTGGCACAAGTGTATCAGAAATGCAAAGTAACAAAAATATCAGTGAGAAGTAGAATGGGAGCCAAGTCAGACACTTGTCAGAGGGCAGAATATATTTTACAAGGGATAACAAATCCTCTGAGTACCTGGCTGGTATAGCTCAGTGGATTGGGCGCGGGCCTGCGAACCATACAATTGCGGTTCGATTCCCAGTCAGGGCACATGCCTGGGTTGTAGGCAAGTTCTCAGCAGGGGGCACATGAGAGGCAACCATACATTGATATTTCTCTCCCTATCTCCTTCCCTTCCCCTCTAAAGATAAATAAATAAAATCTTTTTAAAAAATCCTCTGAGTAAAGGAGTGTAGTAAGAATACAGGACAAACAAGTAATCTTAAGAAATGGAACTTCTGGCCAAGATGGAGGCGTAGGTAGATAAACATTGCCTCCTCCCATAACCAAAAGAAGGATAATGACAAATTTAAAAAAGAAACAATAACCAGAACTGCCAGAAAATTGAGCTATAGGGAAGCCCGACAACCAAGAAATTAAAGAAGACACATTCATCCAGACTGGTAGGAGGGGTGTAGAGGACGCATGGCAAGGCGACAGCTGGAAGACTGGGCAGGGAGGCTGCGGCTGGTGGTTCCACATTTGTGTGCAGGTGAATGGGGAGGAAAAACTGGGGAGCAAGACAAACTGTGCAACCCGGGGTTCTAGCATGGCGAAATAAAGCCTCAAAACCTCTGGCTGTAAAAACTTGTAGGGGGGTTATGGAAGCAGGAGAAACTCTCAGCTTCACAGGAGAGATTGTTGGAAAGACCCACAGGGTCCTGGAACGTGCATAAACCAACCCACCCAGGAATCAGCATCAGAAGGGCCCAATTTCATTGTAGGTACCAGGGGAAGTGACTGAAAGCTGGCCCACAGCCAAGCAAGTGGCATTGTTCCCTCTCTTACCACTCCTCCACATACAGCACTTCATCAAAGCCAAGTGGGTTGCCCTACACTGGCCAATATCTAAGGCTCCACCCCTTACAACCTAAGGTGCACTAAGACAAAGAAATAAAGCCCAAATGAAAGAATAGATCACAGCTCCAAAAATAACAATTAAGCAATGAAGAGGTAGCTAACCTATCAGATGCAGAGTTCAAAACATTACAGAAATGGTGAGTATGGTTGCAAAATGGAAGAAAAGTAAAGGCTATGCAATGTGAAATAAAGAAAAATATACAGAGAACCAAAAGTGAAAGAGAGGAAACTGGTACTCAAATCAACAATTTGGACCAGAAAGAAGAAAGAAACATTCAACCAAAATAGAATAAAAAGACAAGAATTCAAAAAAATGAGAAGAGGCTTAGGAACTTCTGGGACAACTTTAAACATCCCAACATCTAAATCATAGGGATGCCAGAAGGAGAAGAGGAAGAGCAAGAAAGTGAAAACTTATTTCAACAAATAATGAAGGAGAACTTCCCCAATCTAGCAAAGGAAACAGACTTCTAGGAAATCCAGGAAGCTCAAAGAGTCCCAAAGGAGTTAGACCTAAGGAAGGACACACCAAGTCACATCAGAATTACATTAGCCAAGATTAAAGATAAGGAGAGAATCTTAAAAGCAACAAGAGGAAAGGAGACAGTTACCTACGAAGGAGTGCCCATAAGACTCTCAGCTCATTTCTCAAAAGAAACCTTGCAAGCAAGAAGGGCTGGAAAGAAGTATTCAAAAACATGAAAGGCAAGGACCTCCATCCAAGATTACTCTATCTAGCAAAGCTATCATTTGGAACGGAAGGGCAATAAAGTGCTTCCCAGATAAGGTCAACTGAAAGGAGTTCATCAACACCAAGCCCTTATTATATGAAATGTTAAAGGGACTTATCTAAGAAAAAGAAGATCAAAACTATGAACAGTAAAATGACAACATACTCATAACTATCAACAACTGAACCTAAGAAAAACAAAACCAAAAACAAAATGAGCAAACAACTACCACCGAAACAAGAGTCACAGAAATGGAGATCACATGCATGGTTATCAGTAAGCAGAGGAGGGGAGAGAATGGGAGGAGAAGGTATAGGGAATAAAAAGCATAAGTGATAGGTATGAAATAGACAGGGTGAGGTTAAGAATAGTACAGAAAATAGAGAAGCCAAGGAGCTTATATGTACAACACATGGACATGAACTAAGGGGCGGGAGGGGGGGCAATGCTGGTGGGGGGGATGCCGGGTAGAGGGGAATAAAAGGAAGAAAAAAAAATGGGACAACTATAACAGAATAATCAAAATATACTAAAAAAAAGAAAAAAAAAGAAATGGATCTCAAGAAACCAGATTATGAAAGGCCTTCAAAGTAAGATTTAGAAGCAACAATTTGAAATAAATAGAAATAAGGAACCGCTTATGCAGTATGGGAGGGGTAAGGAGAAAGTATAATGAAGAAGAACTTGAGTTTTGGCCTCTGAGTCTATCACTTATTAGCTCTGTCACCTTGGGCAAGTTATTTAAGCTCTTAATTTCCCTTTCTATAAAATCAGAGAAGTAATATCTATCTAATAAGGGTTTAATGAGGCTCAAGTGAAATAATAATATATAGTATGCTTAGCTGTCTCTTATTCTCTCAGAATTCAATAATGGTAGGTAGGTATTAATATTTCTTTTATGTCCTCAAACAGAAAAAAAAAGAGACATAAAAATTTTTTAAATGCTCCATAGACACTTAAAATTATAGTAAACTATTATCTCTTATTTGTATCAGAGCCTTAGCGGTGCTAGGAAATATGGAATTGGAACCTGTATTTTCTGTTTTAGGTCGCTAAATTTGTTGCTTAAGATCAAATGTTTTAAACATTATCAAAATGTTAAGTGATTTTTGAGTGTCAATGAATATTCATGATCTATGGTTCTATTCCCAAGCAGGCTCAGTTCTAATACGTCACAAATTCTCTCTGCTTTTTGTGATTAAAAACAGGTTCCTCCCCCACCCTCCCCAGGCATACAGATAAAAGATATTAAAATTCTAAATTCTTTGAAGTCTACACCAGGAGCCACTGGAAGACTCGGAACTGATTATTAGGTACTATTTGATCTCTTTGATCAACTTCAAAGAAAGAGTGCCTAAATGTTTCATTTAAAAGGAAAAACTAAAATGAAGATGAATCTTAACTTCATAGAACATTCCTAACTATCTTCCTGAATTCCTAGTTTTTCTTAAGAATTTAAAAAACTTGACATTCAAAATTTTCCTTGAATCAACCACCAAAAAGAACTGTCTAGCACTCTTACTTTATTTTTCCAATCATTTTAATTATTATTTTTTGCGTCTGGTAGAATATCTTTATTTTCCTAAACTATAAGTCCTTAATTTGGAAAACATTTTGAGAATATTAGTACTTTTAATAAAACATACACCAAGCAGAAGCAAAAAAGAAAGTTCTTTTTACCTGGATCTACAGAAGATAATCAACATGCTTTAGATTCAGATATAAATGACCAGAAAACCAAAGATGCCAATTACTTTAACTTTATTAAAGCCAGCCTCAGTTGGTATTTCTACACATGGCCAGATTATTCGTACACTCTATGCTTTCCAGGCCCTAGAGAATCAAAGGTCCACTAGAGCTGTAGCCTTACCTCCTGGAGAAAGGAAAATCAAGTCTAAATTTTACGTCAGGTTGGAGGATATTTATTTGATGTTATATATTATCATCATGAGATTTGTAAATCTGGATTCAGAAAGAACATACTGTATTCTAATAATAACATGTTCTTACTTCTAAAACAGAAAACAGTAGATGATATAGTTTAATGACGTGCTTATGCTCACCTAAGAATGGTGAGAGAGAAATAAATTTATTCATTTAAACAACAAATATTCATTGTGAACCTACTGTGATTCCAGGTGCTGAGGATACAGCAGGGAACAAAACAGACAAGGCCTTGTCCTCAAGGAGCTTACATTTCAGTGGTGGGAGATTTGACAGAAAAATAAGAAAAATATCCAGTGTGTCAAAAATGATAAATGCAGTGGACTTCTGCCAAGATGGAGGCATAGGTGGAAGCACTGCGCCTTCTTGCACAACAAAGTTTAAAAACAACAAAGTTTTAGCAACAAAAATGCAGCCAAACCACAGAAAGTTGAACTACATGAAAGTCTGACAACAACAAACCCTTCAGCCAAACTGGTAAGAGGGGCAGAGCCAGCAGCAGAGTGGGGTCGGGCAGGAAAGATCCACTGGACCTACCCAGGTGCGCGACCCAGGCTCGCTGGCAGCCATGGGCAGATCCCAGGTGTGGAGAAGCGGGCAGACCCACTGAGGGCACAAGGCGGTGGACCCACTGAGGGCTGATCATGGTCACACACTGGCGTGCAGATAAACCGGTGAAGGAGCTAGCAGTGAGATGAACCACTCACGTCCCAGCGGCAGGAAGCGGCAGAGGGGACCGCCATTGTCCCTCTCTGACCCCACCCCCACATACAGAGTCACAAACCAGCGACCTGGGTGGCCCTGCCCTGGTGAACAACTAAGGCTCTGCTCATATGTAACAGGCATGAACAGATCAAGACATGGCTCAAGAACAACTCAGAGCCCCAGAGAGTGATGAAGAAATAGCCAAACTTTCAGATGCACACTTCAAAACACTGGTGATCAGGATGCTCACAAAACTGGCTGATTTTAGTCACAAATTAGAGGAACAGATGAAGGCTAAATTAAGTGAAATGAATGGAAATGTACAGGAAACCAATAGTAATGGAAAGGAAACTGGGACTCAAATCAAGGGAGTGGACCAGAAGGAGGAAAAAATGACCAAACAGAAAAGGATGAAGAAACAAGAATTCAAAAAAATGAGGAGAGGCTAAGGAACCTTCAGGACATCTTTAAACATTCAAACATCTGAATTATAGGGGTACCAGAAGGGGAAGAGGAACAGCCATGAGTGGAAAACTTATTTGAACAAATAATAAAGGAGAATTTCCCCAATCTGGCAAAGGAAATAGACTTCCAGGAAATCCAGGAAGCTCAGAGAGTCCCAAAGAAGTTGGACCCAAGAATGAACACACCAAGACACATCATCATTACATTAGCCAAGATTAAAATGAAGGAGAGAATCCTAGAAGCAGCAAGAGATAAGGGGACAGTCACCTACAAAGGAGTTCCCATCGGACTGTCAGCAGATTTCTCAAAAGAGACCTTACAGGCAAGAAGGGGCTGGAAAGAAGTATTCCAAGTCATGAAAACCAAGGACCTACATCCAAGATTGATCTATCCAGCAAAGCTTTCATTTAGAATGGAAGGACAGATACAGTGCTTCTCAGATAAGATCAAATTCAAGGAGTTCATCATCACCAAGCCCTTATTATAGGAAATGTTGAAGGGACTTACCTAAGAAAAAGAAGATGAAAAAGATGAACAGTGAAAGGATAGCAAATTCACAGTTATTAAGAGCCACACCTAAAACAAAAGCAAACTAAGAGGACAGCCAGATCAGGAGCAGACCCATAGAAACGAAGATAACATGCAGGGTTGGCAACAGGGGAGTGGGAGAAGGAGAAGGGGGGAGAAGGTACAGAAAATAAGTAGCATAGATGGTAAGTAGAAAATAGATAGGGGGGAGGGCAAGAATAGTGTGGGAAATATAGAATCTAAAGAACTTGAGACATGTGGTCATAAAAAAAAGGGGGGGAACGGTGGGGGACGGGGTGTGCAGGGTGGAGGGGAATGAAAGGGGGAAATAGAACAACTGCAATGGCATAATTAATAAAATATATTTTAAAAAATGATAAATGCTATTGAAAAAAGTAGAACAAAGGACAACAGAGAGCCCAGAGGTAGGGTACTGCTACTTTAAATGCAGTAGTCAATGAAGGCCAATTCATTGTAGTAGTCAATTCACTAGGTAATGAATAAGAAGATCTAAAGGAAAGGAAATAAACTATGAGGATTTCTGCAGTAAAAGCATTACAGGCAGAGGAAGCAGAAAATACAAAGGCTCTGAGGCAGGAGCTTGCCTAAATATACTTGAAGAACAGCAGGTAGGCCAGTGTAGCAGCAGAGGAGTGATGACATGTAAACTGATTAAGACTGATCTTCCGGATTAGAGAGAGGAATACTTACCAAGGTGGGAGAGGAGACAACTGTTACAACAAAGGGAGTACATCACAAAAAGAGAAAGCAGAGAGTTGAGCATATATGCAAGGGATTATAATGATGGATCATGGAATCTATGCTGGGTAAGGAGAGCAGTTAGAATGTGTGAAATACATGAGGAACTGTAAGAAAGTGGTTCAATCCACTGCTAATGGTTTCAGTGAAGGATAAATAAGTTTTGGAGCTGAAACACTAGGGGCAGTTGGTAGTAAGCTAGCAGAAATCTTGAAAGCAAGATTGGGAAACAGGTGAACCAGTTATTTGTGATTAGACTATCTTAGGGTGCAACCATGGGAGTAGAGGCTGAGGTAGGGAGAAAAGAGCAAGTGAGAGGCCAGGGTATTAGACAGCTTATCTACCTAGATAATGAAATAACTAAGCATTAGGACAGAAACGGTGTTGGAGAGTGTGAAAGTACATCTAAAATCTTCAAGGAAAGATGAGAGGAGAGAAGAAAACTGCAGGTTAGTAGGTAACAGCCACACAGAAAGGTAATAGATGGTATAGTTTAGTGACATAAATGACAAAGCTAGAAATTGTTAGAAGGAAAAATGGTCTGGATATGACAATGAGGTGCTACAGAGACACCTACCTCGCCTCTTGGCCCAGTAAAAAAAAAAAAAGATATAGGAAAGAAAATAGCAACTACTTAAGAAGGCTGGGGAAGCACTGGCCTTAGGTACAGCCAGGTTTCTGTTAAGCCAGAAGATGAAGGCAACATTCTAGAAAAAGCTAAGTTTATGAGAGATTTTGTTGATGACAGTAAGTTCTGAAAGGACTGTGGAAAAGTTCTGAGAGTTGGGAGGGACAGGAGAAGGGTCAGATTCAGGGATGTAAAGAGCCATATATTAACAAGAATATGGATGCTGAGAAATAACCTTGTAGTCTTGGGCTTCTTAATATTACTACTAAAACAAGAAAAGCACTTAACCAAAAATATACCACAAAATAAGAAGGGAAGAAGCCACAAAATAATATAAGCTGGAAGGTTTACAGGCCAAAAGTTACTGACTTAGGCCTATTTTCTGCAAAAGTTACTGACTTAGGCCTGTTTCATTGCCCAAAGAAATGAAACAAAAGAGGTACTGAATTATTACTATGATATGTGGCTAGAATATAAGGCAGGCAGACAAAATGGTGAGGTTAAAAAAAGAATAAAAACTAGCAAAATAACAATCAATTCTGTCAAATCAACCAGTATTCTGCCCCTGATGGTAATCTTTAAAAATAGGTACCACTAGATGCATCACGTGATGACTTGAATTACTTAATGATTTTCTCCTCAAAAAGCAAATCAAACATTACCAAATACAGTAGAAGAATGCTTAAAGAAAGAGAAGAAGGCCTTTCAAATATAAAATAATAAAAAGACCTGGGCCAAGGACAAATTGTACTAAAAATAAAGCAAAACCTCTTTTATCTAGTACTTTGCTTTAAAGAAATATGAAAACAAGTAAACTAAGCCACTTAAAACATATGTCCATGTTGGCCGATTAGAAAGAATTAACATGCCCTGGCTGGTGTAGCTCAGTGGATTGAACATGGGCCCGCGAACCAGAGGATTGAGGTTCGATTTCCAGTCAAGGGCACATGCCTGGGTTGTAGGCCAGTTCCCAGCAGGGGATGCACGAGAGGCAACCATACATTGATATTTCTCTCCCTCTCTCCTTCCCTTCCCCTCTTAAAGATAAATAAATAAAATCTTTTTTAAAAAAAAAAAGAAAAGAAAAAACTAACAAGTAAAAAATTCAGCAAACAGTAAAAGGATTATTAGACCCAATACAATATAGAAGTTATGAAATAGCACTCTAAAATACAAGTTTTTCATAATTTACTAGTTTATAATATAGAGTAGCATGGGACAGTGTATTTATATTAGATGTGTTTGATCACTAGTCGAAAATCTACCAAAGTTTAGATAAGAAGACTGATGCCATAATTGTGTTTTAATAATTCAGTTTCTGTGCTGAAAAAGCCTTTAAAGATGGAAGATGAAATAGAAATCTAAGAAAAATCAAAACAGTACAATAAAAAAGCCAAAAAGTTTAAACCAAACTTTTAAAAAATCAAATAAAAGGAAATCCGTTCTTTTAGATACTGTCAGGAAGTGTGACTATTTCTAACAGCAACTTAAAAATTATAAGAGATTTCCTCATACATACTTTTGTGTGTTCATATGGAATGTCCACAGAAGGATGGTAGCAAACTATTGTCCTGCCATCAGATGTCAAAGCAAGCTCTACTTTGCTAAAAAAAAAAAAAAGGTTTCAGAAATAGAGTTATACTGTATTCAAGGCAGAATGACCATTCTTAGAGCTAAAATTAATTAATCATGAATCCCCGAAGAATAGATGCCAAGTCACTGGACTAGGAAACCTGATATCCATACCATACAGAACTCAGGCCATCCCACCAAATATGTCAGCTTAACAACTACGACAAACCCTTAATGCATTACCCACTATTATATGTAAATTATTCTTGAAATTATTGGTTTTTAGACTACCCAGATCTTTGGAAGAGACTTTCATGTTTGTCACTATTATTAGAACTTCTTTTTCTTATTTTCTTATCTAAAAACTGCCTTCAAAAGTTGTAAGAAAGACATTACCTGGCTGAATTATTAAAGTTGAAAATCAACAAAGTATTAATCTTCAGACAGGTAAAGGATCACCTGACTTTCTAATCATAAAGATTGTAGCTGAACACTTTGTCTAGATCAGCATTTTTCAAAGTGCCTTTGGCAAGGGTACAACAGTAAAGGCTTCCAATAAAAAGGGTCCTATGGTCATATAAATTTGGAAACTACTGAATATTGTCTCCTCCTTCCATTAATAGCCCTCAGAAGAACACATTTTGAGCAATATTCCTCTAAACACTTCCAGGACTGCTCTGACTGGATCTCATTCTTTCAAGTGCCAACTAACCAAGCCTCTTTTTTTAAAGATTGTGGCAATTAATATTGTACTTAGATCCATACACAATCTAAGGAGCACAACTTTCAGCTTTTATAAAACATCTCTCCATGTCTATAAATTTGTTTCTAGGTTTTCAATACCGACCAGATTTGATTACCAGACCAGTAATGATACTACGGTGTTTTTTAGCTAACACAGGATAAGGTGGTTTCACCATGATTTTAAGATGAAATATCATAACATGACTACAATGAACATTTAATCTATCAAATAATTTTTGATGAAGGATGGAGTTTTATGCAATGCCCCATGAGACTCATTCTTTTCAAGTTCAAAAAGTGTTACCTATTACATTGTATAATTTCATCACTATGTTAACACTTACTAAATATACAGTTAAAACTAGATAGTGTCAAGAGAGAAGAAAATATATCTTTAATAAAATTTGAGATAAACCTGCAGCTTAAGAAAATATGTTGCAATTTCTGCATATCAGACTCTGCTAATAGAGACAAAAGACATTTTATTCCTATGCTATTTCTAGTTCTTAGCACAGTGACTAGAATTGAGTAAGTACCAAATAAACTGTGGTCGAATTAAATGTTTGTGACTTAGGATTATTTAATGTGAAACAAAAGACAAGATAAATAACTGCATAAGTAATAGATAGGAACCTTAAAAGAAAATTATAAAAATTAATATTTTCAAGAAGCTAAAGAATCCTCCAGGAATAAAAGAGCATTTCTAACATGTGTGTCTTATAACAAATTAAGTATTTGCTGAAATATGATGATAATGATTTTTATTTAAAACATTTATAAGCCTTGATACTGGGTAAATAAGGTCACTGAAATCATTTTTAAAAACAAAATTAAAGAAAGAATAATTAAAAAACAGAAAACACCCAGACAAGAAATAAAAGTAAATCATTTCAGATACAGCTGTCGTTTTTTCAACTGAATTTTAATACATACCAATTGTAGTCATCTGGAAGAGGAGAATACGTGGACTTATGACAAACACAAAATAAAGCTCCATCTGCAAAACCCCCCCAAAATAAAGTGAATTTAGTTAATTTGAACATATGTTCTCACATAAATGTAAAGCTAGTTTCACTCATTCAACCACTATTTACTGTTTACTATGAAACAGGGATATACTAACGGCCAGGGATTCAACAAGATCCACTCTGTACCCTTGGAAAGGGTACAAGTGTGACGAGAGACAGACAAGTGAACAAACAATTCCAATACAAAAGATAAGCCCTGTTAGAATGGGTAAGTATTGGGAAAGAGAAGGAAACACAGAAAAGGTACAAAACACAACAGTGTAGGTTAAAGAATGCCTTTCCAGTGGAGAGGATGTCTAAGGTACTCTGAAGGATGAGGGAATAAATAGGAGTTAGGGTGAGTATAATGTTCCTTAAAGAGGGAGTAACAAGTACCAAGGACCAGACATAAGAAAGAATATGAAGTATTTGGGAATTCGAAAAATTTTCAGGCGACTGGAGTGAACAGTTCACAAAGCAGAGGGCAGGAGAGGTATTTGAATTTTGATGAAACTCAAAACAAATTGTTCAAAATTATTTTTCCTTAATTGAAATGCTCATATTTTAAAGTACATTTTTCTTTTTTAGAATACCTATAAATTCAAGAGCCATAATCATATTTTTAAAAGTCTGTGAAAGGTTCTCCTGTGTTCAGAGAAAGGGTGCTCTTCAAATATAAAGAAAAATGTGAATGTAGCTCAGTATAGTTAAAAGCAAGTTCTGAAAATAACTTGGCTAAAGTCAAGGAGCAACTTCTCTCAACTGAGCCTCTTGCTCCTCAGTATGAAACACAATTCTCACTTTGTTCAAATATCACTCATCCTTCAAAGTCAATGCTACTCTTCCATAAAGTCCTTTTCCCTTCCCCACCCCATAAGCCCCAGTACAGAGGGCAGGGTTGTCTACTTTACATATCCCACAACCAACATTTTCAATGACACTACTATACCTTCTCTGCAGTATTTTCTGCATCAGTTATTGATGTGCATCAAATACGTGTAAAAAAGATGACTTCATCTTTGTATACCTATTCCTTCCCCAAGGACTGCATACACTTATGGGTCTAAATATAAATCGTTACCCCAGCCCCAGCTGGTGTGGCTCAGTGGATTGAGCGCTGGCTTGTGTACCATGCAGTGGCAGGTTCAATCCCCAGTCAGGGCGCATGCCTGGGTTGCAGGCCGGTTCCCCAGTAGCAGGGGTGAGAGAGGCAACCACACATTGAGGTTTCTCTCCCTCTCTTTCTCCCTCCCTTCCCCTCTCTAAAAATAAATAAATAAAACCTTTTAAATTCTTACCCTAAAGCATAAAAAGTACCTTCATAAAATTCACTATTATCACAAAAGACTGTTCAGCAAAATGTCAAACCCAAGATTCTACCAATATAAAAAATACAAAGAATTAGAAATTTAACCTCATCTCTCAAAGGATTCATTAATTTTCAATTAACTGTGCTAATATAGAAGTATTCAATAAGACAAATCAGAGGATAAAGTAAAAATATTTAAGCATTTTATTTTCTTGTTTTACACTGTTGAGGATTTCCCTAATTATGCCTGGATGAACATGAAAAGAAATTTTACTCTAAATATAAACCAGCTAGGTGATGTGCGTGTTCACTGAAAGAAACAGGAGTGGGTAACAGAGGCAGGGCAGCCAGAACCATGTTCTTAAACAGGCACAAGGGAAAACTCAAAACAGTATTTCAGTTCAACAAGGAACTGTGCAATTTCTACTCTGTACTTACACAGACGTTTGTTCAAACCCTTATGACATATATTACATTCTATCTCATATTCCAGGTACTTCTATTTTCTATAGATACCTGCAAATCTACCATATTTTTTGGACTGTAAGACACACCTAGGTTTTAGAGGAGAAAAATAGGGAAGGAAAAAAATTTTTGAAGCAAAAAATGTGGTAAAATATTTAACATAAATAACATATTTCACTAATGTAAATGTAAACAGAACTCAACGGCAGCATTAACAACTATTATTTCCCCCAAATTTAGGGGGATGGCGCATCTTATAGTCTTAAAAATATGGTAAGTGAGTTCCTTAAGGCCAACAACCACACCAGCAACCACATGTTCATTAATGTGTCCCCTACAGTGGTACTAATAAAGAAGTGATTGTCAGACTGCCTCTAAAATGTTAAATTTCTATACAATTAATACCTGAAAATTCAAATGACATTTTATCAAGAAAAAAATTCTAGTTATGGTTAAGTATCAGAGGTTCTAAATGTATAATTAGAACTGATGCCAAAGTTAACATCAATCAACTAAAGCAAATAAATGTGCCAAAAAAAATTCCAATGAGAGTCAGCTCTCTGTAACTTACAGGCTATTGGTACATATATAGGTTTTTTAAAAATTTTATTTAGTTATTTTTCAAGTACAGTTTTCTATTTCTCCCATCCCAGCCCACCCCGCCCCATGCTCCCCACCTCCCTCCCATTTCCACCCCCCTTAGTTATTGTCCCTGTGTCCTTCATACTTGTTCCTCCAAATCCCTCTCCTTTTTTCCCCTTAAATTCCCTCCCCTCTCTCCTCTGGTCACTGTCCCCTTGTTCTCTATTTCAGTGTCTTTGTTTTTATTCTGCTTGCTTGTTTGTTTTGTTGTTTAGCTTCCTGTTAAAGGTGAGATCATATGGTATTTGTCTTTCAACACCTGGCCTATTTCACTCAGCATAATGCTTTCCAGTTCCATCCATGTTGTTGCAAAGGGTAGTAGGTCCTTCTTTCTCTCTGCTGCATAGAATTCCATTGTGTAGGTACATATGTAGGTTTGACTGCATTTTGATAAGATATATAAAAGCTGATAGCTCCACTTTTTTTTTACAAATTTTCAATATTTTAAGTTATTACAGGAGTGGCAATACAGCAGAAAGCATATTGGACCAAGTAAAATGGAGACACCTAGTTTTTGACCACAGTTCTCAGTTACCACATAAACAACCTTGGGTAAGCCTCTGAAGTCCAGAGAACTCAAGTTCCTTCGTTTTCAGAAAGACGACACATGGCATAAAATATGAAAAAACTGTAAAATATTCCACATTCCATACTGACTGTATATTTTTGGAAGGTTTGGGGAATTCCTTCTAAAATATAGGGAGGTCTTTTTATTTTTGTTTGTTGAATTTTCTCTCCCTTAATCATGGTTCTGCTTTAACTTAATCTTAATGTCCTTTCTTTAAATGTAAAATATCAATAATAACAGTAATAACACTTTACATTCAATGATAATTATAGAAATTATGCAGACTAAGGGGCTTCAGGATGCAAGAAGTTAGGCAGTCACTGAGTACGAGGATGGCTAAGTGATAATGGAATAATTTTCTGGGGGGAATTTAAGTTAATTTTTAGCTAACTAGTTATTTGAAACTCCAATCCATTCAAATCACTTCAACGTTTATTTATCACCTACCATGTATGAGGAGCACTGAGTGAACCAAAATAAATTAGACACTGTACAAATTTATAATCTATTGGGTAGAGTATTCATAGACAATTTTCACTTATCCAAGGGCAGATTAACTTGAGTGAGGACTGACTGCTGTATCAGGACATGTACTAGGTAAAAACTGATTAGGTCTGACTTCCATTAGCCTTGATGCTGGGTTCCTATCAGGGCCAAGGGGTGGTTAGGCTGTAGGGGGTCTTACAATTCTGAACAAAAATTCTTCCAGGTAATCAAGGGCAGACTATTGTTTTGGCTCTGATATTTACATCTTAAATCTCTCAGCAATATACTCTTTTACTTAATTATACTTTTACACACACACACACACACACACACACACACACATTTTTAATCCTCAACAGAGATATATATTTATTGACTTGAAAGAGAGAGAGAGAAACATCAATAGGTTGCCTCCCATACGTGCCCCGACCAGGGAAAGAACCCACAACCTAGGTATGTGCCCTGACTGGGGATCAAACCCACAACCTTCTCTTGTACAGGATGAAATTCCAACCAGCTGAACCACCTAGCCAAGGCACTTTTACTTATACTTTTAATTCTAGTATTCAAACAACTCTTTTCTTCTTAATTCAATAAATAAACATTTAATTGCAAATGGCAGTAAATAGGATACATTAAGAAGACTGAGGTGACGCAGAGATGTGTAAAAAAGTTAGCCAATGTTACTAAACATGCAAAAGCAAACCTCCTGAGGCAGTCTATATCTGCTTTAGAAATGGGAGAACAGCCTTCACACAGTAGAAAAAGAAAGTGAAAGTAAGGCTGGTTGGAAAATAAGACTTTAATAATCTATTTACTTATATGGGTTGATGTTTTAACCATCAAACATGTATTAATAGACTGTGAAGAAATGGCTACATACATTACTTCAGAAAAGGTAGGATGAATCCTGACTGAGGTGGCTCGGCTGATTGGGCACCATCCCACAAGGCAAAAGGTCTCAAGTTCCATTCCTAGTTAGGGCACGTGCCTGGATTTTGGGTTCAGTCTCCAGGTCCCAGCGGTAGAAGAGGCAACTGACTGATATTTCTTTCCATCCCTTTCTCCCTCCCTTCCCCTCTCTCTAAAAATAAATAAATCTTTTAAAAAAGAAATAAAAGGTAGGTAAAAGTTAAATTTTATTGTTAATGACTAAAAACACAGAGAGAATATACCAAAATGTTAACACTGATTATCTCTGGAAATGGAATTGTAATTCTTGTAATTATTTGCTGATGTTAAGTACTACTAAAAAGTAATATATGCAAATATACTACCTATGATTCAAACCTGAGAAAGTTCTTCTTTATCAATCCCTTTCTTGCCCTCTGTTAAAATGCCACTTGTGGTCTATGCAGATAACCCATTTGGCCCATACTTTTTCTCTGCATTATATATAAAAACACACATGCATATGTAGTAGATAATCTTTAAATGCAGAAATGGGAATCACACAATAGATACTGTTCTGTGACAAACTTTTCTCCCCTTCCATTTGGCAATACATACAGTAAAGATATACAATAATTTACCCATTTCCCTTTTGATAGACATTTAGGCTTTCTTCCTTTTTCCTTCTCCCTTTTCCCACTATTGTAAACACTCCTGCTAAAGCATACACAATAAGTAAATGCTTTAAATTTTCTATAATGAATACGTTTCTACAATATTTGAGAAAGTTTAAGACTTTTTAAATATTAAAAAACTCACTTACTTTGAAATGGAAATAAACGTTTCAAGATAGTTCTGTTTGATATTGCCCATTTCACTGCTGCTACTGCCATGGTGAATCAAGATGCTTATCAGGTGGTATGGAAAAAGATGAAGAGAAAAATCTTTCAGAAGTTGCTTCTAGGCATACCTATTTTCATCCTAAGCAACTGATTAAAAAAAAAAAAGAAATCATTGCTACCAATAGTAAATCAAAGTGACACGATATACTGACTGCTACAGGAACGAGATAGGGATCACTAACTAGAACCAGCCACCTAAAGCGAAACTTTTAAACAACTCTCCATTCCAAGTGATATAAGAAAAGAGCAACATGCCCTGGCTGGTGTGGCTCAGTGGATTGAGTGCCAGCATGAGAACCAGAAGGTCCCGGGTTTAACTACCAGTCAGGGAACATGCCTGGGTTACAGGCCGGGTCCCCAGTTGAGACAACCACACATGGATGTTTCTCTCCCGCTCTCTATCCCTTCCCCGACTCTGAAGATAGATAAATAAATAAATAAATAAATAAATAAAATCTTTAAAAATAAAACAGCGACATTATCAAAATGTAAGATCAGAAACCCCAGAACTATGTCCTTTACAATTTCTCTTAAATGCAAATTTCTTAGCACCTAGTGTAGTTCTTACCACTTAATGAGCACCCAGTAAATGTGATTACCCTCAGAATCAGTCACTCACATATGCTACACTGAGCAACCTCCTTGATAATGCTAATGTGTCTGTGTACAACTTCCCACGTACCACAGCAAGATATTATTACATCTCTTAAAGTAGTATTCTTTCCAATTAAATGAAATATTAAATAAGGCCTATCCTTCACTTATTAAATACTGATTTAGAGAAACACCTATTAACACTTCAAAGAGCCAAATATAATTTCACCATGTTAATACACTGGGTAGGGCAAAAGTAGGTTTACAGTAGTGAGTACACAAAATAGAGTTTATTCTTGTATTATTATTAATTACTGTATTCTTTTCCATATGAACAACATAGTTTTGTCCCCTCTTGTATGCATAAGGTTTTTAACTTTCCAAGGTGCTTTCTTTACCATCTCATTTCACTCTCATATTCATGAGGTATCTTTATTTTGATTCATGAAGAAACTAAGTACAAAGTTTAAGAGTCAGTCACAAATTGGGAAACATTTGGCAAGTCATTAACTGGATGACACTCAGTTTCTTCCATGGTAAATATGGAAACAATCACAACCCCCATGGCTGTTGTGGATAAAAGGATATAAGCATTGTTACAGCTCTTGTTTTTAACCAGCCTCCATGACTATTTCTTCCCTTCCCCCATTCTGATAACATGGAATCAGCATGAGCCTTGTTTGCTGAACTTTGCAGGCTGTTTCTCTGCACTGTCAGAACATTAGCACTGCTACCCCTGATTTCGTAGTATGGTTTTTACAGTTTACGACCCACTTTCCTATGCATTATGTACTCTTTCACAAATCTGTGAAGTAGGCATCTTATTTTAGACACTCAGCGGTTCAGAGAGATAGATGTACTCACTCTACCGCTACACTGCTGCTTAATAGGAAGCCAGGGTGGCACATAGACCCTAGCCTTCTGGGCACAAACCGAGGAACAAAACATTTGATGACAGGGGGCGTTAGGTCCCCTCTGCCCGAGATCCAGAGGAAAGCATACCCACAAGTGGATCAGACTGTTCAACCCAGGGAGAATAATTCTGAGGGTAAGTCACTAGGCCCGGAATCCAACACCGAAGCAGAAACTGCAGAGCCTCAGAAGGCCCTAAATTTGAGGAGCAGGTTACCAAAAGCACGGGGACTAACACCCGAGGGCAGGTCCGAAAGACTTGGACCTGGGCGGGATCCCCAAGCAATCGGCAGCGGTACAAGGGGAGTACCCGCTCTTGAAGGGGAGCTGCCACAAGAAGCGCGCTGCCACACGCCGGCTTTTCAGCAAGGTGGACCGAGTCTGGTAACGCCAGAGGCTTTTTGCTGCCGCAAACGGTAGGTAGGAGACCTCGACAACTGCGGAAAAACCTTCTGGGCCTGTCCAGCTTAGCTTCTACAGACTCCTTGACCGGAGGAGGAAAGGACGATGGTTACCTTGACAGCTGCTCACCACGACCCAGCCATCTTGCCTCAATCCGGCTCCCGGAACTACAACTCCACGCGACTTCCTGACCTGCGGGGCGCTCTGGGAAATGTAGTCTTGCGGGAAAGAGCACCTTGACGCGGGAGGGCGGGGATTCACTTACCTTGCTTCCACGTTTAGTTGCAGCCACTTAACCTGCAGGTGTACTCATATCACACAAAAACAAAAATCACTGTCCACCGCACATATCCTTAGAAAGTAATAAGCGCTATTTTTTAAAAGTTTGTATTTGTAACTGGAGGACCTCGAGATCACTTTTTGGTGGATGAGTTAAGCTTTTCTAGAGGAAGAGGCATTATTTCATTAGAAGCACTGAAAAGGGCTGGTGTTGAATATGAAGTTTATAATGGGGAAGTTGGAAGGGCCTCCAATCCTAACACCACACTGTGTTCTGAGAATTGGGCAAGCTATTCATTATGGTAGGAAGAAACTATGCAGTATCCTGGACTTTGTCTTTTATCTTGCACGGAGAAAATACCCTCGGGTCTTTGCACTTTCTATTCTTATTCCCAGCAGTGCTCTTCTCTCACCTCTTGTGACCACTGTCTTACTTTATGCAGGCCTTGCTCAAATATCATCTCAGAGAGGACTACACCATTGCATAGCCTCACTCACTTTTACCCCGATGTCCTGCTTTACTTTTCTTCATAACGTTTACCATTATTGACATCATATTATTTGTTTCCTCATTTAAGGCCTGTTTCATACTAGAATACAAGCTCCAAAAAGGCAGGGTCAAGTGTCTATCTTGTTCTATACTGTATATAAACCCAACATCTACAACTGTGCGGGGTCTCACTGCAAGCCTTTATTATTTGTTGAATAAGACAAATAACAAGGCAGACAGCCAAGATAGCAGATGATAAACTGCTAGTGAGGCAGTATAACCTAGAAATATCTTTTTCTTGTGATGTGCAAATTTCGTATTTGTGTACATTTTTCCAAAAAGAACTCATATCTTTTACCATGTATTCTAGGGCAATAAACGTCTCAAAAAGTTAAGGGCCATAGTCCAATAAGTGAATATAAAATCACTTATTTTTCATATTTAAGTGAAAATTAAGGAAAATAAATAGCCCCCCATGGTGGGCTGCTGTGGTGTCTCTCCTCATTCCCTGCAGAATAGCAGGCTTTGTTCTGCTGCTAATCATTGCCCCTTTGAAAACCCACAGTGATGGGCCCATCTCTGTCCTTTCTAAACTTATCCATCCTTCAAAGCCACCATGTAAGGTCTTTCTGGACTCTTCCTACGCTGTAGGAAGAGACAGAGAGGAGAAACAGATGTGAATGAACAATTAACTGGACTTGTCAAACACTCATTGTGCAAAGCAGAACAGGGATGGATCAAAGATGACTCCAGAGGACATGTCTTGATGGCTGTGAGCAGAATAGGGACACTGACCAACACAGAGACACACTTAGTGGGACAGGGAAAGGTTTGCAAAGCTGAGAACAGAGAAGAAACCAGTCATATGCCTGGAAAAGAGAGTAGAGATAGTTGTAGGCTGAGGGAACAACTTAAAAGTCTAAGGGGAGTAGCAGTAACTTCCCATGTGCTGGAGAACTGTGTGGAGGAGAGAGGCAGGACCTGAAGTAAGTAAGAACTATGTCATGTTGGGCTTTGTAGGCCTTGCTGGTGATAACGTGAAATTGGGACATAGGCCATATGTGTGATGTTATTCTAAATGTAGTAGGGAGTCACTGAATGGTTTTAACACAAAATAAGAGACACGATATGATTTATATTTTTAAAAGATTACTTTGGCTGCACTGTGAGGAGTGGCAAGATTGTAAGCAAGTCTCATGAGGCTATTGTAGTCAGGTTAAGAGATGAAGGTTACAGAGGCAGCACAGCACAATGGTTAAGAGAAGAGATGAAGGTGATAAGGTGATGGAAGGTGGCAATAGTGGAGATGGAGAGAAGGGAAGAGAGTCTAGACATATTTTGAAAGTAAAATGATGACCAAACTTGCTGGTGGATTGATTGGGAGTGGAAGTTGAGAGAAAGAAACTTCAGATGACACTTTGATGACTAGCTCGAAGGTGGTACGGTTCATGAGATAGGGAAGAGTGAAGGAGGAGCAGGATTGGGGGTTTGAGCTGATGAGGATGGAAATGCATAACTCCATTTGGAAGTTGTTGAGTTTGAGATGCCTCTGAAAGAACCAAATAGAGATGTAAAATGAGGCAGGTGGTTGGACAGATGTTTCTGGAGATAGAGGTTAAGCTAGATACAGATTTAAAACTATAGGAATGTTGAGTGCATGTAGAGAGAGAGTGAAGGAGAAAAGAAAAAGGACCCCAAATCAGCCCTAGGGAATCCCAACATTTACAGGTTAGGTGGAGGACAGCCAGCAAGGGCCTTTCAGAAGTGGCAGGGACAGAGGCAGCGGGCAAAACAGAGACCATGGTTGAGAGTGGTTAAGAAAGGCATGTCATATCATGAAGTATTTCATAACTTTAGAGTTCAGTGCCAGAAAGTTTAAAACTATTATTTCCAAAATTACAAGCTTGAAATACCAACAAATAACTTATATTTGCCCACATAAAAGCTGTTTAAATTCATGCTAGTAAAATGATAAAACATAAAATTGTAGAGGTTTGGAGTTGGCTTCAAAAGGCTTCAGTTGAAAAGGGGGTTGGCTTTTTTCTTTTCTAACTTCACAGAATAAATTTACTCTTTATGTCAATTAGAGATCAAAGACTGCTAAGCAAACTAACTACCAAACCATTAGGGATAAAGTTTTAAAGTTTTGCAAAATCTTAAAATTTTTTTAATCACATAAAATTTGCTACAATTTTGAGCACTTACTATATACCAGACATTGTTCTTCAAAAACTTTACATATATTGTTTTTGTCTATTCCCACTCTTGGCCCTAGGAGATGGGTATAATTTCAACTGTCATTATACAGATGAAATAACAGAAATGAACTTGTCTAAAGCCATGTAAAGTATAAGTGGTAGAACTGTGATTTGAACCCAGGAAGTTCTGATACCAGCACCCATGAGTTTAACCACTGTGTTAGACTGGCCCATGCTTATTTCCAAATAGGAAATGTAGATTGAAAAAAAAAAAACTAATACAGATCTAAAAAACAAAACCCCAGAGATAGGATCTACTAATGTTTTGGTGTGTAACTTTTCACTCTTTACCTCTTTGTATACCTACATTGTGATAATAACGAACATCTATTGGACACATTATGTGCACTGTTTTAAAGTCCTGCAGCCAGTGTCCAGTGGAGGTTAGATGTGAACCACACAGCCTGGTTCTCCTTTGATCTCCTGCTCTTTCATGCAAACACATGATCTTTACGTTTTCCTTTATTCCTGTAAATATATATGCATAGATATATACACATATACATATAGATTTTCTTTTTATAAATGTATATCTTTTTCCCACTTAATATATAATAAATATCTTTCCTATGAATAGTCTAAATATTGTTATTTTCACACCACGAGCATCAGGACTTTTTTAGATTATTAAAGACCCTTACAGTATAGTTTCCTTTTTTCCCCTACAGTTTACACTTTTTAACATTGCTCTGACCAAAAATTATTTTTTTAAATATATTTTATTGATTATGCCATTACAGTTGTCCCATTTCCCCCTTCATTCCCCTCTACCCTGCACACCCCCTCCCACTCACATTCCCCCCCCTTTAGTTCATGTCCATGTGTCACAAGTTCTTTAGCTTCTACATTTCCCACACTACTCTTGCCCTCCCCCTATTTTCTCCCCATCATCTATGCTACTTATTCTCTGTACCTTCTCCCCCATTCTCCTCCTCCCACTCCCCTGTTGCTAACCTTCCATGTGATCTCCATTTCTGTGGCTCCGCTACTGTTTTAGGTTTCTACTTAGTTTACTTTTGTTTTAGGTGCGGTTTTTAATAACTGTGAGTTTGCTGTCCTTTCACTGTTCATCTTTTTATCTTCTTTTTCTTAGATGAGTACCTTTAACATTTCCTATAATAAGGGCTTGGTGACGATGAACTCCTTGAAGTTGATCTTATCTGAGAAGCACTTTATCTGCCCCTTCCATTCTAAATGAAAGCTTTGCTGGATAGAGCAGTCTTGGATGTAGGTCTTTGGATTTCATGACTTGGAATACTTCTTTCCAGCCCCTTCTTGCCTGTAAGGTCTCTTTTGAGAAATCAGCTGACAGTCTGATGGGAACTCCTTTGTAGGTGACTGTCCCCTTAGCTCTTGCTGCTTCTAGGGTTCTCTCCTTCATCTTAACCTTGGCTAATATAACTATGATGTGCCTTGGTGTGTTCCTATTTGGGTCCAACTTCTTTGGGACTCTCTGGGCTTCCTGGACTTCTCGGAAGTCTATTTCCTTTGCCAGATTGGGGAAGTTCTCCTTTACTATTTGTTCAAATAAGTTTTCCACTGGTGGCTGTGCCTTTCCCCCTTCTGGTACCCCTATAATTCGGATGTTGGAGCGTTTAAAGATGTCCTGGAGGTTCCTAAGCCTCTCCTCATTTTTTTGAATTATTTCTTCATTCTTTTCTGGTTGGATGTTTCTTTCTTCCTTCTGGTCTACTCCATTGATTTGAGTCCCAGTTTCCTTTCCATCACTATTGGTTCCCTATGCATTTTGCTTCATTTCACTTAGTGTAGCCTTCATTTTTTCATCCAATTTGTGACCAAAATCAACCAGTTCTGTGAGCATCCTGATCACCAGTGCTTTGAACTGTGCATCTGATACGTTGGCTATCTCTTGGTCTCTTAGAAGTATTGGGTCTGGGGCTATGATTTGTTCTGATTTAGCCATTCTTGGTCAGGTCGTACCTGTTATATATGAGGGGCGGAGCCTTAGGTGTTCACCAGGGCAGGGCAACCCATGTTGCTGGGTTGTGATGCTATATGTGGGGGTGAGGTAAGAGAGGGAACAATGACACTTGTTCT